GTCGTAAGTACGACATAATAAGTCGTACGTACAAGACAGTAAACGTACGTATAAAATGAAATAAAATGTTAATAGGGTCACAGTCACACCTCGGGTATTTGTTTATCAGAAACCAGTCTGCAACTATTCATAGGTAGTGCTTGGGGTCTAATTTGGGGTTTGGAATCTTCTTTGCTGGCCGCTGGGCTCAAAATGGACTATACACTTGGTGTTTTCCGATGTTATTCGTTACATGACAGCCTTAGAACTATTTCCAGTATACGTATCAATCCTTGTATTGCACCGATGGTTATCAAACAAACGCATATTTTCCACATATGATATGGCGGTTGTACAAGTCATCAACACATTGACATTTAAGTCAACTAGGTTAATGAACATTGTCAGAAAACCTGTTCTTCTTACTTTGCAACACATCACAATTAAAGCCAAACACATCCCAACAAAACTGAACAAAACAGCTGAGGGTATTTCTCATTCACAGTGGAGAAAGTTTCGCTACCTGGCTCCAGAAGCAAAGATGTGGCCCACACAGCTTCTCAAGCAGATATCGAAGGTTTCATAGATTTCTCAAGCAGATATGGAAGGTTTCATAGATAAAATCCAAACGTCTTATAAATAGATCTCCATCAAAAAACCCCCAGAAGGCCTAACGGGCTGTACGGAATGAATTCCTACCATTTTAAACATCTCAGGCTTTCAGCAAATCTGGCTCCTACACAGTAACACATTACTACATTTTAAAAAAGTCACCCAATTCAGTGTCCCTTTACATCAACGCATTATCATAATTCCACATAAGTACCCATCTACCTGACCCTACCAAGTCCTTGCAAACCAAAAAGCGCTACAAGGCTTAAAACGCAGCAACATAGTGGCCCGAGGAGTTGTTTCTCAATTACCATACTAATTTTTAAAAAGGTCGTCACATCGCTACAGTTAGTGTGTCACTCTACCTATGAGGTCAAATTGCACACTTGTGCATTTTCAGTAGTCAACCCAAACACACCAAATACCTCCCATTGCATACAACTTAAACATATTCAAGCTCATCAACGCAAGCCCTATTTAATGCTAACAGTACTACACTCCAAAACCGACAAGGTTTATTAGAATACCTCCTTCATTATCCATAACTAGCCGCTGGCTACCCTGTGACCAGTTAAAGCTACTTTGGATTATATCGAATGTAGGTCCCATATCCCTATCAAACACAGCTTCCTGATTTATCTTGATACAAAAGCATTAAATAGATACCAATTCAACCAGGTTATTAAAACATTATACCGACACCAGGTTATTTATTTTGGCACACACAGCTTTCGAAATGGGAGGGCAACAAAACTGGCATTACAGTGCACGCTTGATTCTGAAATTCAGAAGTTTGGTAGATGGAAACCAGTAACTTTTCTGACATACATAAGGATTATGTACAGTGTAACTTGGATCACAACCACATCCCCATACCTATGTAGAAATACAGACACGTATCAATCTATGTGGGGGATATTTGAACATGAATATAGTCAATTTACACCCAAAACTGACAAACCCAAAGCATTGTAGGTTTAAAGATATGGATTGTAGGAGCAATCATTCCTTACTGGGCAGGGAAAAAAGCCGAACACTGCCCAGGGGGACAAAGCCTGAACCTCCCTTCCACACTGCTATGGAGAACACACAGGGGGATAAAATTGCAGGAACGAGATCCATAAATCCTACTGATCATCAAGCAAGAATCACCCCTTAATTACTTAATAATTAATTTAGGATCTAATGATTTGGATCATGTGTAACTCCAAACCTAACTAGCCAAAAATTAATGCAAGAGATTTAATGCAGCTTGTAATGCCCTTCTCCCAAAAACTAATTTGGTGTTGTAACACTTCCTACCACGCCGTTATTAGCACGGAGCCCCGTTGAAAAATGGTAAAAAGATAGACAGGAAGCACAAAAGAATCAACAAAAATACACATTTATCTAAAAATTTGTAAAAGAACTGGGTGGGTGTGTTATTTCACATGCAAACATATCCGTCGCCAATATGGACTTGTTTAGATTTGACAGTACCCCTCTCTCTGAGCTGGAAGTTTCTTAAATAACATACACAGTTCATTGTGGTCCATCATTCAAAGAAGGAAAAAGTATCCCCTAATGTAAAGTCATGGATTAATTGATTGTATATTGTTTAACGTCCCTCTCGAGAATTTTTCACTCATATGGAGACGTCACCGAATGCCGGTCAAGGGCTTCAAATTTTGACCTTTACTCGGCACTCAGGGCTTTTTAGCAGTGAGGGATCTTTATCGTGCCAACGCCTGCTGCTGACACGGGGCCTCGGTTTTTAAGGTCTCATCCGAAGGACCCGTAACTTTCACTTCAAAGTGCCAAGCGCTGGCGAAGGAACAGTCGCTACCCATTTTATCGACTAGGTCAGTCGCGGCCGAGATACGAACTCACGACCTCCCGATCACGGAGCGAGCGCTTTACTGACTGAGCTACCCTGAACGGTAAAGTAATGGAGGAACATTATATCGATGTCTGTGGTGGGTCCAGAAGTATAAGTGGGAGGGCCTGTGAACATATCTGGCTCATTGTTTCCCTGCTCAGCCACCAGACAAGTTGGTTGACACATTATCTGGTAGTTTGTCTAAAAAGTATCCAACCTATGGCAATGTTTAATGATAGTCAAGTAAAAAGTTTTTCGATTGGGGTTGTAGCCATGTCTGCACCTTGGGCCCCCTCCACCTTTTGTAATAGGAGGAAAGGTTTAGAACTGGAATACTTGTATGCTGACTAGAAGCAATCACCGGGCGCGGAAGCAGGATATACAGATGTGCTCGCAACTCTTCCGGGTCCAAATGTTTAGTGCCTAAATTTGGGATCCCAGGCATCTGTGAAGAATACAGGACCACTGGTTTTGCATGGTACTCTTGAGTGCCAGTTTTCATTCCTGGACCGTATTTTTGATTGTACATTTATGAATTGCGGTCATTTGACGCTTATACTCCTTTTAGTTCATTACACGTATGAATAACGCAAGATTGCACATGATTTTTCAAGTCTTTAATAAATGTAATGAAAATCATAAAACTGTTGTCTATTGTTAACCTTACATCAGGAAAGGTCATGGTGACCCTATGTGCATAAATACTCAAGTAAAATGCATTTCAGGTCCTGCAGGGCATTGATAACCTGACTGATCAATTAATTACCGGTGTTGCAATATACAGAACATAGCTGTTTTTATTTCTCATTCGCTCATCAAAATGACGATATATATCACTATCTGAAAAACAAAAACGAAAACATCATTCAACAAGCTTTTTGAGTAAGATAACGACGGTGGTACAAAACTTTATCAAAAAAAAAACTGTGTGGTAAACCTATGTGTTAACCCTAACAAAAATACTATAGTAAACTATACTTTACTCATATCTGTAATTCTCTGGGTAAACATTTGGATACTTGTGGAAATAATCAATTCACTTTATTTCCTACAAACTTTCAAGTGAGTGATATTCGGAGACGTAAAAAAACAAAACAAATCATGTTATACATATGATCAAACATAAACTAAACAATTGAGCATAATTTAAAAAAAAATGTATTAATTTTAATTCTTCAGTTGTTCCGCTCAATAATGACGTATTATACATGTAATGTATCTGAAGATTTAAAATGACAGCGCTTAAACTATGCAAAAGGTTTCCGTTGTTCTTTCTTTCAATGTACCTGTTATTTACCTTGCATTGTGGATTTTTTCTGTTTGTGGCTTTTTTGTTTGTACACGTACCAAATTATATGAATGTTGACTCTTCATTCTCTCGGGCATGTTTTTTCTGAGTTGTCTGATGACCTGATCTCTTTTTACAGTATAGTAATGTACATGTAACTGCACCGGACAAAATCACAACGATGGACACAGTTGAAGTTGTAATCACAATAATCCTTAACAAAAACAAGGTATTTTAATGTCGAATGAGAGAAAAAATGAAGCAAGTCTTTGTTTTTATCCTTTTTTTTCACAATTATTAAAGCATACATGACTTATAATTGAGAAATTCAGACAACAACAAATAGAAAACATCCTTCTATTTGTGTTAAAACTTAAAATAAAGATCTTTTTATGAATTAAATAATTTGATCAATTGTATTTCAAAGATTTCAAATTTAAAAACAAAAACGAATTATTGACTCCAAAAACAGGAAAGAAGATATATGAACGGAAAATTAAGTTAAAACACACTTTAACTACAGAAATTTCAGATTATCTTACTTCCAAAAAAATTAAAATTTCAATTTTTACATACGTTTACATAAAGTAATGTAGGACTAGCATATATCATGCGTATATACAAATTTCAGATAAAGTTCAGATACGTCATTTGTAAGTCCGCAGTACATTTACTGACAACATTTGAAAGGAGCTTACGTCATTTCTATCTGTTACAATCAAAACATTCATGATATACAATTAAATGGACAGGTAGAATTCAACGCGGACGGCCGAGAAAACATTGAATGTTTTGATTGTAACAGATAGAAATGACATAAACTGCATATTTCCAATCTTGCCAGGTAATGTTGCACGGTCTTATCTTTAAAGTTTGATCAGATAGGGACAAAGTGCATTTCATAATATATTTTAAAAATATACACACTCAGACTGTTATTTTTTACGCATTACATGTGTTTAGACATGCAGATTTTAACAATTCAGGAGATTGTATACATGTAACATACAGAATTGATAACAGAATGCATTAGTCAGTGTTTACCACATACGAATACCATGGTTTATTATGATTGCCCGGGGTGATTTGTTAAAAAAAACAAAACATTTTTTGGAAGATTAAAAGGTTGTTGAAATATTTTTTCAAAAGATTTTTTTGTGCTTTTATCAACTTATGTGCTTATTTTACTTTATTAGCAATTAGCCATTTGTATGCTTTTTTCGGCATGTGTGAAAAAGAATAATAATAATAGAATTTGTTTTGTTACTTTTGTGCCATTGATGTCGGTGCAGCAGTTGTTACACTATCGTTGAAATAAATTGACGGGATTGTTGACTGCATATCATCCAGTAAAATATTCATGTAGCACTCTTTGTCTAAAATAAAAAAAAGAAGATTGTGTGTTCACAACATTGTCATGCATCCTCTTTCAGTAGATTTATGGTACATATTAAAGTATTATTCACAGACAATTTAGTTCCATGGTTAGTCATGTCAGTAAAACATTCTCTTTCACACTCTCATTCATCTCTATCTTTCTCATTACATTTGTATGCTTCAGTCGACATATACAAAAATGGACAGGTTGTGCATTTAACACCACTTCTGTAATGTTCTTGAATAAACTGGCCTCCCGTGTTAAATTCTGCACAAGCAGCACCTAATGAAAATAAAGCAAATATTCTGAATCATCTACAAGTTTATTAAGGCAATATTCTGAGCAGGTTAGATCATGTGAAAGAATTACATAAATATCAGAATATTGTATAATATTCTCTATCTCTCTCTCTCTCTCTCTCATACACAAACACACCCACCCTCCCTCTCAGGAACACTCCCTCACCCTCTCAAACTCGCAATAGTCATGATGTTAACTAACTTCTGCAATTTAATGAGATTCAATGGGGACTTGTTTAACATCATATTCATCATACGTCACTAAGTAATCGTAATCAGAATATAGCTTGGATAAAAAAGGACCTTACATATATACTCGTATGCACTTGTTTCTAAAAGTATATTTTCAAAAATGGATTATGCTCAACACTTTTCATCCTTTACAATGGAATTGTTGGTTCTAATTCTGTATTGTTTTGTCTAGTGCTACAATGTAAATCTGAAATAAAATCTCGCCTTTACCTATGATATGAGTTTCCGGGGCACATACTTCTACAGTCCGGTTTCCCCATTCATTTAAAACACAGTGATATTTGAAGTTTGTTTTTTCTGTGCAATTTTGTTCCATTTCGACACAATGGAATTCATTTGCTCTTGCTTCCAAGGTTGTTTTATCATATGGGCAGGATATACCAGTTTTCAATGTCTTTAATGATTTTCCACATGAACTTCGCTAAAAGAGAGAGTTTACTAAGTATTTTTTTTTTAATTTTTCGGTCTTTTTGGTCAATGTTTTAGATTAATTGCTATATTTCAGTTTATATATATAGTATCTACTATGCTAAAGGTTTCGTGTTTCTTTTCTTAAAATTTACCTTTTATCTACGGAGCATTGTCATTTTTTTGCTGTTTCAATAAACATTGATTCATCTCGACAGGGAATAAAAACTAGCTAAAGAAATGTTTAAAATTCAACGATTCAATGAAATAGAGTAAGCTCTCTTTGTTTGTGACCAAAATTGTTTGGGATTTCTTATCATAGTTGTAAATCTGCATGTACATCATAAGGTATTTAGTTAGCCTTCGAGTTAATGGAAATCTCTCTCTTTCTCTGCGTGTGTGTGTATGTGTGTGTGAGAGAGAGAGGATGTATGAGGGAGGGTGTGTGTGAATGTGTAAAGTTTTGTATGTGTGTCCTTTTGAGTTGTTTTATTGCATGTATGTCTGAGCATCTCCTTACTATAATGGGGCACTAGTTAGAAATGAAATAAAACCTCAATCTTATCAATTTATAAAATATGTACTTAAAGGAAATCCAGTTGTTACAAGTAAACATGTACTAAAAACACCAGCAAAAAAAAAAAAAAAAAAAAAAAATCATATAAAATAAATAAAAAAAGATGAATATATAAAAGTTGACAGAAAAAAAATAGAAAGAATAAAAATTCAAGTTCTTTAAGTATTAGAATGTATACCTGTATTCCTCTTTCTCTTCTGTTCAGATTTGTACAAACAGGCAAAGTGACATTTATAATAATGAATATAAGTTTAGAGTGTTCCAAGTACCCCTGACGCATGGTTTCTGCGTTTCTGGCTTAAACGCCTTCATCAGAGGGGAGAACTATAAAAAAAAAATATATGCTAAATCAATTCTTTTAAATAAAGAAACAGTTGTACAATTTCTATTTTAAAAGTTCGATTGATTATGTGTAAAAACAAGCAGTATTTAAATTAAAAGAAAAAATATCATAAAATTATGGAAAAAAGGAAATGAACATTATACCTTGTAAAAAGTCACATCTCTCTCTCTCTCTCTCTCTCTCTCTCTCTCTCTCTCTCTCTCTCTCTCAACAAATCTAGTATATAAAATACTCAACACCTTTTTTTCAATGCACATTTTACTTGGTGATAAATAACAACCATGATGCATATCTGTATTACAGACACCTTTTAGGAAATATTCTTTTCTTAATCAATTTAAATCTCCTTCATCAAGGTGTATTTAATCTTCATAACATAGGAAGGGGTGCATCACATATTTTTTTCTGTTTATAGATACATGTATGTCCTTTTTCATCCATAAAAATATGACAATGATATTTAATTGGCAATGCATAGAAATACTTATATTTAGCAAACCAGTGAATAAATTTTTTTTTATCAAAGAATAATTTTTCTAAGGAAGAAGAACAATCCTTTTTTCTTTAAGCAACAACCTTCATATGTAATCCATACGAGCAGTTTTAGGTCCAGTTTTCAGAAACATTTGTAATTTTACAATTGGTATATCCATTAACGGCCATCAATTTTTTTCCAAAAAAAAAAAATCCAGTCACATTTTGTAAAAAGAGTATGGAATAACAATATATTTCAGGTGCAATAAACGACTTTGTTTTTTTTTTAAGTTAAATATCCTTCAAGGAACTATTTCTTTATTGCAAATATGGCGCACATCAAATCTAGACGCGCAGTAAGTTTGTTTATATGTAACCATGAACACATTGTTTTTTTTTTTTAATCTATTTATTAATATTTTGAAGTTGATAAAAATGAAATTGTGGGTTTTCTAAATGATATTTTTTTATTCATTTTTTTCCTTCTGAGTCCTATATCCGTTTTTTTTTGACGGGAATAGCCGAAAAAAATAAAAGAATGACTGTAATGATACAGGACACCATATATTAAAGCTCTTTTTCCTGTTCAATCCGTAGTAGGCACACGAGAATTTCTTCAAATAGGGCGCAGAGAACCAATGAAAAGGACAATGATATTCAATCCGATTCCATGCAACATTAATTTTCACAGACTGTTGAATGTGGTTTTCAATTGCTTTAGTGTCTCAAAGGAAACACCCTAATTACACATAAGAAAATTAACCAAACAGAGTCACTCAGGCTTTGATTATATAACTGAAAGCTGGTAAGAAAGCGAATATGCCACATTTGTGTGACAGTTTTGATATGACTGAATGCAGAACAAGGGACCTTCGTTTTGTGTAACAACATCCGGAAAAGGCAAACATTCTATGCGCACGCCATGCATTGCTTTTTCTAAAAATAATTTTTGTGAGGTATTTCAGTGATGTCATTTGTCACCATGTTGAATACCTAGTGACATTGTTACTCGTACAAGTACGTGTAAAAAAGGATAAGTAATATTTATTTTTGGATTATATATTGTGTTTGTTTTGTGTTGTGTGTTTATTTTCGACTGTGTTTGCAGCTCAACACATAGCTTTAATTGTGTTGTCCATCTCGACTGTATTTATATTAATTTTTTTTGGTGTATAAGTGATGGATCTAACGCATTCTAAAGTGATTAAATCCCACTCGGATTTCTGCTGAAATCATCAGTAGATGGCTTACTCTTTATTTACATTTGTACCGGAATGGAAAAGGTAGTTACACTGGACATGTACATGCGTTATACAGAATTATTTATTTATCTTTTAGTTTTCATGTATATCAACAACACAACTTGAATTTATCCCCCATATAAACTGACATTGATCTCTTATTTTGTACAACCGTGAGAATTCAGGATTGAGGAGACCTTTTATGGAACAAAATGTACATGTTATACTTCTATCTATCACTGTTAAGTGATTCCATACAATCTAATTATTTATGAAAACCGATCGATTTTTTTAACAAGTTTTATTTTACCTTGTTTAAGGGTATCAAAGCTACCGTATTGATAGTGATTTCAAATAATAATTATAAAAAACTAAAAGGAATTTGAATGCGAAAACAATGTATTTTCCCTGCAAAAATATATTTGCACCAGTTAAGATCTTGTGGTATTGTAGCCCTCTTCTGAAAGCATCTGTGGTACAAATAATGGAGAGATCGCTATTATCGTGATTATCGTAGCTACTTAGCTACAAGGTGAACTGTAAATACATGAATTTTTCTAGGTATTTAACCCCTCATGACTTTTATTCTAATAATTAGTTTTTTTAATTAAAGAAAAAAGATTATTAAACATTTCCTTGAAGAAATACTCATGTTTATATTCAGGTAACAATTAAAGACTGGATTAAGTCTTTAGATAAATGAAAAGAGATACGTGTTTGATTACAGGTATACTGCTTCATTACACTAATTTTGTATTTTTGGCATTCGGTGCCGAAATACAGGATGATAATTTTTTTTTCTTTTTGGTACTTTCATTTTAATGAAGCATTAACTTTTTTCAGCAGGAACAAATTCCGAATGTTAAAATGCTCGATTGTGGACTGAGGCTTAAAATCTAGGTCGGTTAAGAGCACAAAAATTGATTTCATTAAATGTTTTCTTTATATGACAAAGATTTTAAGGATATTTAATATGATTATTACTAGTCTAATGATGCAGTATATTTACGTTTTCTGACCCACCATTTAAAGCAAATAAATTCTTTTATAATCCACACAATCCACATATCCACATGTTCAAGTCATACACGTATGCATGTATACTTTTCGTGTATGGATGCCCATACAGATCAAATATCATGTTATAATTGCCTATCTGTCATAAACTTACAAAAAGTGTTTTAAAAAAAGGAACGATTAATAACCATGAGACCTTTTGGAGGAGAACAATTTATATAAGAAATGTAAGTGAGCTTTCAATGTGCGGTTTGAGAAGATGTATGTATCGAAAAGTAAATTTTGTGATACATTTATACCCTCCGTTGCGAAGTAAGAGGGTATATAGTAATCGTTATGTCAGTCCGTCCGTCTGTACGTCCGTTTAGCTGTCCGTCTGTACGTCCGTCCGTCTGTCTGTTACGCTTTGGGGTACACATCTCTTATCCGCAACAGTTTACTCCTCTTATACCACTGTGTAAAATTTAATAAAAGTTTCAAACAATCTTTATTACATATTGCCATTGTATGATACAGCTCCTATTTTACTTTTTGGTCAAACACATACATGTATTTATGGTTTCCCACAGCAAAACATGAACACTGTATTAAATCCATTTGGGAGGCGGGGATATCATTTAATGAGCTCATTACTCACAATATACGTAGATAGATAAGTGATACATGTAGTCATTATTTACAACGTACGAGGAAAGTATTTGAAAAATTAAGACCTTTTTTATAAACAAAGATCCTTTATTTAAAGAAATGCCTGGAATATTTGTTATTTCATATAAAGGGTGAATTGTGTTGTCAACGCTGTTATGGTCATATAACGTCATCATTACACTGTATAGCTAATGCGTATAAATTGCACATTGATGCTTCAGTCAAGTTCGTCATTTATAGGAACATTATAGGTCAAAAGTTTAAATTAAGTTAAATTTTTAATTTAACTGAGTGTCTTTTTACATGCCTTCTTATTAATAAGTAACATTCACGTAAAAAAAAATTTTCCATCATAATATGAATATTCATCGTGATATCGAAAGCACCTTTTTGGTACATATTTACAACTTGAATCTGACATGATAGCAGGTTGTCATTTACAGAGAGATTAATAGAAAATGCATAGAAAGCGGGACAACTTTAACTCGCATTCTGGGACATCACACACAATTTCATTTTTTTTATTTGATGGAATTAAATGAAATAAAGAGAATTATCTATTGAAAAGTTATTTTAGACGTCACGTTTCCTTTAAAATCGGTGCACGATAACATTAACGGACTTCCATATTTGATTTTTACTAAAGGTTTTGTTGGCAAGTTGTGATTGGCTAGAAATGTGGGAAATATTATATTGCTCAAAATAATTCAAAAGGAGTGTACAAATTTGTATCTATTCATTATTTTTTTTATAATGCGGTGTTCTATAAACGCCCATAATATATGGAGCGATTATACCAATATGTTTACTTTTTCAACGATCGAGGTTCTTTCTCAAAAACAATCTCAATCTGATATTAGATATACATTGGAGTACAGTTGTACAAATGCCAGCAAACTGACAAAGAATAAAAATTTTATTTCGATACACAGAACAAATAAGTTATAAGTCAATCAGTTATAACATGAGGTTAGAAACTTTAAATAACCAGTGAAACAAAACATGACCAAAGCTTATTTGCTAAATGCAGATAGTGTTCGTCGAATGAACATAAAACTTTGTAAAGAAACTTCAAATGAATAAATTTTGCATTGTTGTAATACATTTTATGAAGCACATTTTACGCATCGTGAACACTTAGTGAACACGTGTATACGGTTTACTGTAGCATTCCGATAAGGTTACCTACCATGCATAATAACCTACTTTTTTTATGAATGAACTCATCTGGAGGGAAATGCGCCTGTGCTAAATGTTTGCGGGTATGTGTAAAACACGAAACGAGAAACAAGGAACTGAGATTCACATAAAATAACAAATGACCTTAAAAATGTGAACAAAGTGGGGGAAGCTTGTGCCTTTGATTTCATTTTATTAGAGAACAGATGCAGAGTGAAATGAAAATATCTTACCTACGTCTGATGTAATTGATAGTCTGATTGTTGCGCGTGAACTTTGTTCTGATAGGCTGAAACAAAAGTATCAATATCTTTCTTGTTTTTCGA